CGGTCCTACCTGCTAAACATTTGCCATATGGCCAGCAAGACATCCCTCTGCTAGAGAAATGCCAGCCAAGAGAGCTGGATGAATGGACTGATGAAAGGTCAAATGTTTTTTTTTAACCACCTCCTCCTTCCAGAAATGATTATGTACAATATGTCCTTATTCTCCGAGTGCTTACACATATTCCTTTTGTATTAGGGAAGACCCAGAAAATCTGAGAGTGAAACACTTTACAAGTGGAATGTAAGATCTCAAAAAGATTCTAACACTTCAGAGACGTATTAAAATGAGCATGTTTAGTTACACTACACTGTCAAACTGATCCAGAGAAACATATTGTGTACAGTCCTTCACCGAAACTACAAGCTGAGGTTCGAAGCATAATGGCTATTCTGTAAAACTGAAAAACCTCTCTATACTTACAAAAGGTAACAAGCGTATAACCACAATGCAGCTTTGAAATTCCAATTTTCAAGGCCACAATGGCTACTCCGGCTACAAAACTACAGTGTTTTCTCTGCACTTTTCTGCATTAAGTACAGAAACAAAAACCGCTACCATCGGCTTTCATGAAAGCACAGTATTACACAACTTCTTATGGTGGCTTTCTTTCAAAACAGAAAAATGCACAAATACAAAGGAGAGTGCAGTATTGCACAACACTGAGAAAATTGAAGACAGACCAACATTATGAGCCACAGACTTTGATTTCTGTATGAAAGGTCAGATTTTCTTTTCTCCTGACACTAGTTCAGAGCATATTTTTGTTTTAATGTTTGTCTATACAGATTTTGCTTTTTCTAACATTGCAAAACCAGAGACTGTACAGACATAGCTTTCACAAGATATCAATCTAATTAAGAGAAACTCAAGTGTTCCAGAGTGATCGATATTTTCCTGTTTTAGACCTAAAAAGCACAGGATATTGACTGAACAAGCAGGACTGATTCCAAGTCTTGAATTCAGGTGTGGGTTCTTTTTTTAAACTACTAGAAGGTGTGAAACAAAGTAGTAAAATGACAGTTATAGCCATTTCAACAAAATTTGATTCTCCCACTTTTGAAAGCATACATCAGTTTTGTCTTACTGCTAAAACTGAGATCTGCACCGTGAATTTAAACGACATAGCACTCCATAAACAGCACCAAGAACTGGCAGTTACTACAGCCCATTACTAACTGTGATAAATAAAAAGTAGCTACTTCAAACAGTTACTGGAGTATCCCAAAAGTAGAATGTTACTACCATATACAACACATTGGAAGAAAAAGTAAATCTGCTTTATGAGTAGAAGATGCCAAAGAAAAGCTTAGAAACATACTCTGCTTTTACCTCTGATTTTTATTACAAGGGTTAGGGTTACATGGATCCTTGGAAATGCACGATCCAAACTCAAACTGATTGTCCTGGAGCCCAACACAACGAGCTATACATGCACTCGGGTACGTGCGCCCATTCTGACCGCACACTGGTACAAACTGATCCACACAGTTACACGGTAAACCTGTAAAAGCAACACACAAAACAGGGGCTGGGTGCACGCTTGTTTCCTACGCCAGAAAATACACACAGGGTCACTACGGTATCTTTGCTTCCCAGCGAACGCAAAGGTGGGCCCTGTCCGCAACCACTCCCTCCCTCCTCTCAACGCGCCGCGCTGTAGCGCGGGTGCTGCCCTTGGAAGCAGGAGGCAGAGCAGTTTGTGCCCTGCCTCCCCACTGATGCTGCTCAGCTTTCTCCATTTTTTCCCCAAACTCCCTATCTCTTGTCCCCAGTGGCATTACCCTGTCTCTACCTATTTCTACACACCACCATTCTATTTTTCAGCACTGATTTTTTTTTTTTCCCCAAAGGTATGTGTTTTTTCTGAAGTGCAGGCTAGACATGAGAAAAGTAGTTTAAAGAACATATTAATAACATATTATCAGCATTTTTCCATTAGCACTGTAGAAAGATTTTAGAAGCTAATCCTCGCTCTAAGAATATTAAACTTACAGTTTCCACAGTTTGGAAAGTTACCTGTAAACTTCCGACGTTCATCTTCTGAACTATGCTCAGTTAGACACTGACGTGTAGAACATATCAAGTTTCCAGCAAAACAGGAACAGACATTACAATCTATATTAAAGGATGTTCCATGGCCTTCAAAGAAATTAAGCAAATGCGTACAATTAATGCAAAAATACCAGAAGACTATAAACTTGTATGTTACACAGATATACTCATATGTATTACATAGATACTACATTTTCATTGTTAATTGTTCCTGTATTTTCCCCTCCTCAGTTTATTTTCCCACTGAAATTTCTATCTTTTTTTAGATTTCAAGTTTTGCACTTAAAGAAACAGTCTGTTCACATCTGGTTTTGATTAATCAGTTAAACAAGGAAGCCTGTGTAAGCTGGGCTTTCTTTTTTTCTTTAAGAACAATTTAAAGCTGCAAAAAGAAATACACTCAGAAAACAGACGAAATGGTAGACAAATTCTGTCTTGCAAGCTCCAGATTTTTTTAAGGTAAAGGTTTTGTAAAGATAACTTCTCCTAAGTTAATGCTATGCAGGACTGCTAAACTGTCAGCCATATTCTCCTACACGATGCAAAGCTCCTCTGCAGTACTCATTTCCTTCCTTCGTGTGTACTTTCTGTCAAGAGGTAAGAAGTGCCAACGCTTCATTCCGATCTTTGTTATTTTGCAGCATCCACTATAGTCATCATTTCAGCCCCACAAGCAGTACAAGTTATAATGCAGCTTTGTCCCAAGCAGGGAGCAAGGCTGGAGCAAAGCTGAACCCAGGTCTAGACCCAGCACCAGCCCCCCAGAGGCTGTGCTCACCCACTGCCTTTCAGAAAGGAGCACTCTGTCACGCAGCTGACTCTCAGCTGTGTTTGAAGGACGGAGCAATCGGCCTCATTTTTGCATTTTGTAAGTCAGTAACTTCTTCACACTTGAATCTAAGAACCAAACTGCAAACTTAGGGAATTTTTCTTCAATTGAGCAATTGAAGTTGGGTTCCGTGGGCCGTCTGTATGACTGCCCTTCGCTGTGTTGTATGTTTTATGCAGAACCAACTCCTGTTGGTGACAGTCAATCCATCCATAACCAAATCCGTTATTAAAGACGACCAACAAATACACGGCTCTTCAGGAAAACCTAAGAGTAAACTGCACCTTATAAAACATCACAGCACTCTCTAATCTCTTTTCAAAGACTTGAGATAAAGGATTAGAATTTTTGAAAATTATTGCAGGGGCATAAGGAAAATCCCCAGCATTTGAGCCGTTCAGGAGAGGTACTCCTGAGATGGCAGAACAAGAGCGAGAGAAAGACTGCAGCACAAGAAGCTCTGTTTAAACCACAGCACCATGCTAGGAAGAAGGAACTGGTCAGCAGGGAAGCAGAAAAGTTTCCAAGGTTTGAAGGTAATGCCAAACACGGGATCTCTTAGGTGATTCTTCAGAGTAACTGACTTAGGAGCCACTCGAAAACTTGGCAAGACCACTGGCTCTCACTGTCAGTGCACACAACAAACTGTCCCCTTCATCAGCAGTTGTTTCGTTAACTGGAGCCAATTCACCACACACAAAATCCCAGCATCAGATAAAGCTTTAGGGGTTGGTTGGTTTATAGAGAACAGTTTTAAAAAACACAATTTGGATTTTATGACTAAACCTTGGCTGTTTGCAACTGACACAGAAACGGATTAAATATAGGCACTACAAAAAGTTCATATGGTGACCATAAATTTTTAATCTAATGAATTTGAAACATAGTGATTTTTATCTTTTATTATACACAGTTTTAATCACCACATACACTTGATGAGTAATTATGGTAAGAGAGAGGAAGCTGTCTGGTTTTGGTTTCATAGTGGTTCGTTTGGGTTTTTTTCGGTTTTTGTTTTTTCTTTCAAATGGACAGCACTTACTGAACACCTACCAGCTGCACGTATTGTTGTTACAGTTACCACAAGAGACAGCTCCTCCCTATGCAAACGTAAAACAACTTCTGACATTTTTGTGATTATGTTCAGAAAAAGTACAAGTCTCTTTGGACAGAACGGTCCATAAAAGGTCTCAGTCAAAATTTAAATAATATATTTGCTAACGACTGTGTTTTAAAAGCATCTACTTCCACCACATACCTTCTATAACTGCCCATACTGAAAAATGTTTTCAGTGTTCTGCTTCCATGAACAAGTAGTACCAATTTGGCAATAAACCCAAAAGTTTTAACTATGTTTGGCTGACTTTCTCTTTGGAAGAACAAAAATCCCCCCCAACCTTTACAAGCTGTCCATGCATGGAACATTACAAGCAGACCTTCCTGAGTGATGAAAATAATGGTACAATTTCAGCTCTGCTTGGTATCTTTTAAGAGAAAGCAATATCTCAGTTACTTACTTTTCATGATTTCAGGGTTTGGTTCACCATCAGAAAATCACGATTGTGACCAACGTAACTACAGCAAGTGCCCTGATTCTTAAGATTTACTTAAAGTGAAAATAACTCTTTTTACGTGGTAAAAAAAAGTGACTTATTTTGGACTTCTCAGGTACCTTTGACTTGCTTTAGTTATGCTTGGACTTCAGTTTGACACTATTTTAAAAGGGCTGATTTACAGACAGACTAAACAATGTCCAGTGCTGAAATCTGTAACTGTTTATGAGCAGAAAATCTCTCGCTTGCCGACAGATTCAAAGACATCAGCTTCAGACAGGTTACGGCTCAGCACAGATTCTATTTTATATTCAAGCTATTTTTATAAGATTTTTCTCTATCTTAGTAGTAGCTTTTTATTTTGTTGTCTCTTACAAAGAGCACAGCGCTGGTTTGCATGACAAAAATACACCTTTAAAACCCACAAGCAATGAATAAATCAGAAAATAAATCAGTATCATCTTTTAAGTAGCATCATTTGTCGTGTTTCTTTCAACTACTTTGACTGTCAAATTAAGTAGAACCCAATTAACGCTTGTTACCCATGCTAATTTAACCTCTGAACACTAACGGTAATTTTAGAAAATTAGTAATTTAAATCTCAGTCAAGAAAAAGATAGATAGTGTTCTTTATTGTCAAAATAAAAAGCTGTTCATCTTACAGTCACCTGGCAGAAGGAAACCAGCAGGTCTAGACCCACCATGCTGAGGAAGGCTTTAAAGCACCACAGTGTTCAATATACCTTTGCTATCAGCTGTATCTGCTTACACGTTCATTTTTCAAGCATATGTTAGCCCCACTGACTAATATGTTAAACTATAATTCTTATTTAATATTAATTTAATTAAAAAATTAGGAAGTTATTTTTCTGAAAGGCACAGGCCGCCTTGTGATACTGAACGGCAGGCTATGAAGGTTTCAAAGAAATCCAAGCGCAGAGGATTGTCCTTCCCACGCACCCAGGCGCATCAGCAGAGCAGCCCTGTCACCGCTGTCCTCGGCGTCGCACTCGCCAACGCCACTCGGCAAACGAAACGCCCTCTCCAGAAGGGCACAAGAACCTGTGTCTGAAGGGTATCAGATTTATGACGTGATGCCAAGGGAAAAGGGATTGTGCAAAACTGATTACGGGATGTTTAGTGGAAGGATCAAAGATGAGGAAAAGGAGGAGTTACGATGGATGACGCAGGAAGGTTTGAGGGAAAAGGGGAACGGTTGAGTGGAAGCAGGTGGCTGGCCGATAGGCTTCTCTCACTTGATCACCACAATCTATCTTTATATTTTTATTTAATCCTATTGTTACCCTCTGTGTGTGTGCATGTAGTTCATCAGTGGGCTTCATTTCTGAGCAGTGGCAGAACAGGAACAGGCTTGGGCCGTATTTGCTGTTGATGTTCATGTTACTGCCATGTGTGTTTATGTAGTAACAGCACTAATTTCTGTCTGTGCCCACCAGCGTGGCTGGCCACGTTAGCAGTGTGTGTGTATGCACGCCTCTGTGCATGTGTCTACTGGGAACACATCCAGTGATTACTGGGTTTCTTCACTGCCAATTCAGACATCAACAACTATTTCGATAAACCCAAGTTTATGTGACTTTTACACTGACAGCTAGGTTTCTGGTAGGAGGGAGGACCATACAGGGAACACCTGATCCATACACAGAAGAACCACTCAGAAGACAAGTCAACAACCACAACAAAAAGTAAAAAAAATTCTTGCATCCCTGTTCTGTGCAGAGGAAGTTAAAGGTCTAAGCTGAGTATCTCTTCACGGCCAATGTATTAGAGAACCTGCCTCAAAAGCAGCTCTTGGACAGACAAACGTTAACAACTCTGCAAGACCAGAAGGTATTCACCAAAAAATTCCAGATGAACTCAGGTGTGAAATACCTGCTAATATAAGTGAACTTATTTCTAACATCTTGCTTTCAACTTCCCCAGGGTTTGGATACCAATGCAAGCGGGCAAAAGTATACATGTATCTATTGTTCAAAAGGGTTCTGTGGATAATAAAGATAGGCAAACTTCAGTGCAAATTTGGTGCAACGCAAATGTCGTAAAAGTATAAAAATTTGCATCAGTGGATGCCTACCTAAATATGGTACCTTGGGTAAAGGAACCCTAGTTTTTGGCATGTCACAAACCAAATCTTTTAGGATTACTGAAGGAGTCAATAAGAACATGGACCACAGAAAATCAGGTTGATACACTTCAACACCCAATAGACATTTAATAGCTCTTTAACATAGGCTTTCAAGAAAAAAAGTAAGGATAGGAAAAAAAGGCGCTCACATGGATAAATAACTAAAACAGAATAAATGGATAATGAAGGGAGGTCACCGGAGGAGTCTCCACGATCTATGCAGTGGCTACTCAGTTCAACACATTTGTATGTGATCCAAAAAACAAATGCAAATATTTACATGACGAAGTCTATCAGTAACATTAAGGTACAAAGGACCAAGTTAGGAAGAACTGCAAGAAAAATCTCACCACACTGAGCAACTAGGAAAGGACACAGCAGAGAACATTCATTGTATTGAACATAAAGTAAATCTCTACAATTCACACAACGAGCTGTGAGCTGATCATTTCCACTTAAGAACTGGACCATGGTGTTACAACAGACAGCTCTGTGAAAGCATGATGTCAATAGAATCAGCAGCCAAAAAAAGATAATGTTCAGAATGAATACGAACGGAACATCAGTTTGCTATTACACACACTTGATTGGGCACTTGCATTGTGATGGTGTGTGAAGTTCCAGTTCCCATTTCAAAAGTAAATGTAAGAACTAGAAAAAGGTACACAGTAGGGTAACAAATAGGGTCAAAAGTATACAACTGTTTTCACATAAGGAATGGTTACATCGAATAGCAACTGGCTTGGAGAAAAACCCAGAAAGCTGAGGGAATATGACAGAGGTCTGAAAGAGAAGGCAAATAGGGAACAATTGTTCATCAGCTTTTTCAATACAAAAATTAGGATGAATCTCATGAACTAAGAGGAACCAGACAAAACAAACTATCGAGGCTCAAATTAAAAGAAATCCCCTGCAAACCCCACAAAAAAGAAAAAACAAAAAAAAAGAGGAGTGTTTTTAGGCACACATATCATAGCACGTGGAACCTCTTGCCAGAGGTTATAGCTCATGATAAAAGTTTCAGACTTTTTTTAACACCTATTTAAAGTCCATGGAAGAAAAAAACCCAACAAACCAAACGAAAACCACCCCAAACCATTTGGAGCTATTAAAGAAACCACCCTCTGCTCAAGGGGTCTGTGGTCTGAAGCACAGAACAGATTCTGGGAGAATATTCACAGAAAGTATGATTAAATCCTCTGCCTTTCCTCATACTCTTCCCCAGACACCTCTATGGGTCACTGGACATCCAACGCTGCTAAAAGCAGACGGAGAGTACCCGCAAAGCTGGAATCCAGGACATGGGCAGCCATTTCCAGTCAGCTACACTGCGCTTAAACCTCAGAACTACAGCATGCTTCAAGCAGAGCAATTTGTTTTGCTGCTGTTGCTTCATCCCTGCTGCCTACGGGCTCCTCTCAGAACTTTCTCCCTCCCCAATCCCCAGAGCTCCCACCAGCAGGTTCTTCTACCAGAAAGGAAGCTACCTGTAACAAGCACCAGACAATACAGGTGTGAGGCCAGTCAGCGACCTTTTGGTTGAAAAATGATGCACGCTTCACACGGGACTCTCTTTGGTTGAGACAGACACAGTTCAGTACTGATTTAAATAATGGAACCCTCAGGCATACCTAAGACTTAAACAGGCACTATATATAGGGATGCAAACACTGACTTTTGTATTTTCTGATAAACTCAGCATTCAGATCCTCTGGGTCTTCGTATGTACCTCAAAATTCATTACTTAAGGAGCAGGTGCCGTATAGAGAGATAATTGCTGTCCTAATACTTACTTTTTCTTTGTCCTCCAACGATGCATGATTTTTGGAGGTCAACACAACGCATTTCCATGCAGTTTTCTAGCAATCCACTGTGTCCACAGGTACAAATCTTGTAACAACCAACATCACCAGCTGAGGATGGAACCTGAATAAGTGTACCTTGACGGACAATAAAATCTGAAGCTTCTCCCAGCTTGCAACCTATATAAAATAAGAAATTTTAGCTCATATTTAATAAATAGTTCGGCAAGGGCCACCAACAAAAATAACTACTACTCTTTGACTTGTGAAAAAGCTAAGGTGTTCCTAAAGCAGCCCCACTCTTGCCCTTTAGACAAATTCACTCATTTCATAGAGGCAACAAATAGCAGAAACAGAAGATACCTGCTTGAGACAATGTTCTGAAGTACCTGTAGAAATGTCACTTCAGAAAAAAAGACTGGTAATTCCAACAGTTCTCAAGTAATTTCATTTTCCACAGTTCTGTAGTAGTATGAAATGCATGTGATATGACAAATACCACAGATGCTTCACTCTCTCCAGCAAAGAACCTGAATTAAAGGGTCTCACAAGTAAAGCCCAGTCATTTCCACTCATGTATTTATCGTGTCTTCCTTCCCTACCTATATCTCTCATGTGAACACTGAAGGACTCTTACAGGTAGATGTGAAGAAAGAAGAAAGGGAGGAAAAAGCAGGAACACTGGATTTAAAAAAAAAAATGGAAAAGAAGAAAAATGGTTTCAAAAATTACAAGGAAAAAAAAATAGTAGGTTAAAATCACCCTAGAAGTGATGACCTTCAACAAATCCTCCAAAACTTTCAACCAATCAGAAGACTGAATCCAAACACAGGAGTCACCTTCCAACCTCTAGAGGAAGTAAACTGCCTCTTCAAAAGCTCCGGGTGAGCTTGTTTTCAGATCCCTTTGAACAGCTTTTGCAGAAAGTGAAGACAATGCAACCTCTGTATTAATAACGCTCAGCTCTTCAGAAAAATAAAAGTATTTTGTAACGGCCATAGAACCATAACCAAACGTCGCTAGGCTCACAACAAGAATGAGCTGAAGTCTATCCTCACGTCTAGAAAAGCACAAGTGTAGCAGACGTATGAGTGAAGCAAAACCCAGTTTTCCTCTTTGTAATTAAAAATCACTGGAGAAACTGCTGACCAGCCACAGAACTGCTGGACCAAAAGAGGCTCAGGGAACTGACGGGAGACAGTCACGGCAATGCTCTCTATCACTGCCTCTAGAAAGGAGGCTGCTTCATGCGATTCAGTTTAAAAATCTGTTGCCCTCACTCGCTCAGTCTCTCTCAACGTACGTGCTCAAGCAGTCACCAAATGCAAACTTTCCTCTTTGCTTCAAGAACCACAGGTGACCCCTCATGTCCCTGAATGATACCTTCTGCTCTAAAGGAAGGGGAAGAATTGTGGCAAGCACTACTGATGTCAAGGTAGAACCATGAAGGGGCTGCCGAAGTTGGCCATCGTACAGCCTCCGACCTCCTTCCGTAGAACGCCATCCAAGTCTGCTATTTCAAAGTTAGGCAGCTGGAACTCATTCTACAGGAGGCTCTCTCCTCGATCAGCTCACAGGAGTCAGACAACACCTGTGCTCTAAAAAAATAGTTGCAAATGGCCACGAATGCCTTTCTAGTGCAGTGCACCTACGTTAAATGTATCGCTCAACGCAGCGGCAATGCAGTCAGCTGCGTACGGCTGCATCTCCAGATGTCATCTTCAACGAGAAGTGGTACTGTGGGTCTTGTGAAAGGACGAGGCAGCACAAGATCCATTGCCGATATTGTTGCTGTTTCCCAAAGTCAGTGTCATTTTCCTCCACACTAGGAGTCTAGGCACAGCTTTGGAAGAGACACAGAGCTAATCTGCCTGGCGGTCCTGCCGCCTTCTCCAGCCAATGAACCAACAGCGCCATCAGTCCTCACAGATGAAGTGCAGAGATGCTGCACCAGTGCTGCAAGCTCAAGTGGTAGAGAGAAGAAAGGAGAGGCAAACAAATTATGTGCCATGTCACCTCCTTCCCAAGCCCAAAACCTGGGCACTCTGAATCCAGTGAAACAGCAACAGCAAAGCTCTGAAGAAAAAGTCCGAGTCTTAATTTACTCAGATTGGAACTCCTTACCCATGAGCTGCTGGAGGTATTTTGAGAAGTTGACCTGGCCTATGAAGAAGGATTTGGGACAATTCCATGTAAGACACCATCTTGAACTTTAATATAACACCGGAATTGCTGCCAATGCAGATGCACATCCCAGGGCACTCTGCATTTGATCAGATTCTCAGAGCTCTCAAGATGTCCTCCCAAGACTGACAGCCTCATTTTCATTCATTTCAAGGCAAGACATAATGTGCATTTATCTCACCAGTAAGGAAAGGAATGCAGATACAGCTAATAATGTACGGACATAGAGGGAAATACATGTCACGGCGTCTGCAGCAGCAGCAAGCTACGCTGTTTGCAGTATCGCACGCTTGTAATTTTAAAGAGCAGGCAGGCTGCTTAGAGACCATGCACAGACATTTATTTCTTCTGAAACAAAGTAATGTATCTTCTAACAAGACATTACATTTCAGTGGACAATAAAAATAGAAAGACACTGAAAAGAGCTAGAAGGTAGGCTACGGCTTTTGAAAACACAAAATCATTGTGATAACAGTTCTTTTGGGATATGAGCAATTCACTTCAAAACTTTCAACAAATTTCAGTAACATATGTTTATGAGCAAAATGCAGGTACACAGAAGTCCAAAACCCCTTACCTGGCACACACAAATACGGAAGACACAGCTCTCCAGACTGGCATCCTTTTCTATTTACTTCACATAACTGATTAGCTGCGCATGGATTTGGATTACACGGATGTGTAACATCTTCTACAATGTTACCTAAAGAACTTGGGCCTGAAAACAGAATATACAGCATCTATATGGATTGAAATGAGGTTTATTTTTCTTGACTAAAGCATGGCATTTCTTATATTCAGTAAAATCATATTTTTGACAATTCTATATGAAATATTTTTTGTGTTTTGTCTTTTTATGTTTTTAACTGTACTTGTAGAAGCTTGACATGACAAGGTAGTTAACTTATTTCAAAAGTTTAGTCCTCAATCCTGGAAATAATGACCCAGCAAGCAAAATATATTTCCTTTATCTTGTTTCCCCCATAATTTTCTCTATATGACAAAAATACAAAGTGACAATGAGCGGCAGTTTAATCAAGAGAACTCCCACAGCCAACGATTAACAAATTGGAGGTTTAAAGTACACGTGGTCTTTAACCAAGTTCGCTATCATTGATAAAGTGTTGTTTCTGTCTTCCCTTGAACTGACTAGTAAGGTTCTCCTGTTACAAGACTGAGGAAAGGGAGGTCAACATGGAAAAGCAGGAGCTAAACGGAGCAGGAGCTAAATGGAAAGAACTACCCAAAGCTTCAATACATAGTCTCTCTGGGAACAATCTATTTGTTGGGGTATGCTTTCAGCTGCAGCTCTTACTAACCAAAATTTTACTATTTTCAAAGTTCCTTGTATTCTGACAAATAAATATCAAAATTTAATTTGGAAGGTCTAGAATAGATACATTCTATACAGCTAAAAAGGTCTAAATCCTAAAGAGATAAATATGCAATAGGAAGTAGTAATAGGGTAGAGCAGATTTGGAAAACAATGTAAAAAGATGCATTTAAATGAAATCTAGAACCAAGACAAAAGCTTACTAATACAATTGAGTTCCACACTGAGGGACAAGACATTCTGGAAGAAAATAGAATCAAAACCCTTAATTCTTCCATGTACCTATTAAACTCACGTTCTATTGCCCCAAGAGTTATTTTGGGTTTTGATTATTCTAATTGCACAGTTAAAGAACAGAGTTTATGCATCAGGCAAAAGCGTAATTTTGTACATCAAGAACTTGTGCTCTAAATCATGCTGTTGTTTAAGTGACATTTATTTGAGATCACTCCTCCCAAGCATGCTTCTGCTTTTGTCCTGTAAATAAATACTGCTAGTGGTTTTATTATTACAGTATTTTTTGGCATGTGAGATGACTTCTTGAAGAACAGTGTTTTCTTAAAGTAAGATGAACTAGTCTATTTGCAAGTAGGTAAAATCACTGAAATTCAACAAGCTGGACTATCAGGTGATACAGATCAGTGTACTTGCACTGAATATACGAAGTCCCCGAAGGAGAAGCGTGGCGGGTTAGCCTTGGCTAAGAGCCAAACTCCCACCCCAAACGGAACGACAGTGGAAAACAGGTAAAGCAGGAAGAGAAAAGCTCATGAGCTGAGATAAAAGCTGGGAGAGTGCATAAGAACTACCCTTGCAGGCAAAACTGACTTGACTTGGGGAAAATGAATTAAATTTATTGCCAATTTAAATAAATATCTAATTACATATTCACATAATGGGAATAAAAAAAGACAAACATCAAAGCAACTTCTTTCTTCCTCCCTTTCCCAAGCTCACCTTCACTCCTTCCCTCCATATTTCTCTGCCCCTGCCCAAGTGATGCAGTGGGACTGAGAAGGGGGGGATGATGGTGACTACGGTCAGCACACAGCAGCTTCTCTCTGCCGCTCATTCCTTCTCACGCCTTTGCTCCAGCACGGGCTCTCCATGGCCTGCAGCTTCCTTCAGGGCATTCCCACCTGCTGCGGCCCGTGGTCCCCCACAGGCTGCCTTGTGGACCTCGGCTCCACCATGGAGCACCTCCTCTTCTCCTCCTGCTCCTCTCACCTTCGTTCCTCCTCTGTTGTTTCTCACTCTTCCTGCTCCCTTCTCCTCCACCTGTCTGGCACTTTTTGCCATTTCTTAAACACGTTTTCACAGAGGCACCACAAACCTTGCTGAGCGGCTCAGCTTTGGCCTACAGCGGGCCTGTTGCCGAGCTGGCTGTGTCTGGCACGGTGCAGCCCCTGACATCTTCTCCCACTGCCTCCACCCCTACCGAAACAGCCTTGCCACGTACACCCAACACAAGAAGGAATAAACATAATGAGCTATGGCAATTTGAAAAAGCCGATTTTCTCTAACACACTAAATAAAATGTCTCAAATTCAACACAATTTTCTTTAAAAGAAATAATGAAAACTATCAAAAGCAACCGTAAGCATTCAAAGTACCTTGGGTTCCAGTTTTGTTGCACAGGTATGTTGATACTTACTCAGGTACGTATCCAATGGGATACAGTTCTCCAAGTCATCTGTTGGAGACAGGAGCTCACAAATACTTTCAGCTGTGTGGCCTTCAGGGAATTTATTATGGTCTCCACATTTCTTCAGTATTTCCACACAATCTGATCTTCAGATAAATAAAGAAACAGAACTTCATGAGCACTACTTGAAGAAAACAGGTCTTATAAGAAAAAGATTTCTTTCCACTTTCTTCCCTTTCCCAAAATCCCCAAATCCCCACCACTTTCTCCTCCTGCCTCACAACAGAGCGTTTATACATATACGTATGTATAGGCTACATTTTACGTACAGGGGAGGAATGATTTCGTGACACAAAGACAGGAACTATTGCTTACACTGCTCTTCCTCCACTTTTGGCTTGGTGATCTTTATTTTTTTATGGCATCATATGCACATATCTTTCCAGACCAAGCATCTCCTTGATTTACTAATGTCTAATATGGGTTAAAACTCTATCTCACTACCTGTACTATTAACTGGTCTCTTTTCTACCCAATCACCTACTTTCAAACTTAATTTTTTTAAAAAACAAACATTCTTTCAGACCTTTCTGTCAGCTGAAAATCACCAGTAGGTCCCAAAACCGAAAAAGGAGAAAGGTTTTACAGAGAGCCAAAAGAACCCCCACCAATAAATCAACTTTACAGCATATACATCCATCTCACTAACAAGCAAGCACCTTCTGTTTACAGTGATGGAGATCCAAGCAATGGCAACTGCACAAGCTCACTCCTTCAGTGTTTGCTTTGCCATGTTTTCCTAACCTAAGTCAAACACATTCCTACTGCACCCTTTCAGTTCTCATTAAAATCCTTAGCAGAACCTCTAAACTGGATTTTTCCCCACAGTACTTACTTGCAGATAATACTTCCTCTAGATTTGCTGTGGCAAGGTTTAATCTGCAGCGAGCAGGCAATTGCCTTCCACATTTCTGGTTGGCATTTTTTAATATCAAGCACAGGAATATTTATAAACGGCATCTTAATACTCCCTTTTTCCCACAGCTTCATGTCATTCATGGCTCCCTGGTCTGACTGGGTATTGCAGCTCCTAAAAAGTTCTGTTGGTCTTAAAAGAAAAAGTGAAGATATGGCATGTATACAAGAAAAAGAAAATACCACACATTTACACTTCACTATATGAATTCTATGAACCTTGACACGGCTTGCTTTTTGTGGTATAAAATAAATGAATCCCTTCCACAGTTAAGCAAGATCAAAATCAATTTGAATTCTGTCTTTAAGGAAAATAAGCTCTTTAAGACTCAAGGCTGAAACTCCCTTCTCACCTCTACCTCTTAGATCAAGTATCACTTAAATTTTTGTTACCTGAGGAAAGTTGACTTAAAAGCAAATATCTTGGATATCCTGAGGATCTGTGCGAATGTCTCCT